AAATCCAATCTAACCCCTAAAATTCCCAAATCACCGCCTTGTGCTGTAGCCTCATAAATATATGTATATATCAATATATTAAGTGCATTATCGATGTAAGATAATCTAGAAAGTAAATGTAAAGTAACCTAAAATGTCACATTTTATTACATAATTTTTTCTTTTTTTTTGGGTCACACATAAATTAAAATATCATATATACTTTAGTGTTCTTGAAATAGTCTTTACCTGTTTTTTTTTGTTTTTTGAAATTTTAGTCTTTCCCTGTTTCATTTCGAGCGTTAGATAAATCTCTATGAGCTTTGGAGTTTGGACTAATCCACTAATCAATCAAAGATAACCTAAGATATTAAACCAGTGTATAATACTCCATAATAAGAAATTAAGAAGAGACGAAGGCACATTGATGGATACAACATATAAGAGATGTCTCAAGCATCTATGTATCTTTGGTGAACCGGTCCAAGAATTTGAATTTTTAAGGAACTGAACTATTTTGTAATCAATGTCTCATCTAATTCATAGAGTTTTCATTTCTTGTTTACATTTTTTTAATCAATGTCTTAAGATAAAGAGTCTTTTAGGACCAACATTTCATGTTTCTGTCGAAGATTCCTTTACCGTAAGTCGAAAAGATCATCTCTTTGAGGAGAGGATACTGAAGAAGAACAAACAGCATCGCCGGTAAACAAGCGAGAAGGAACGTCGGAGCAACGATCCATTTCTTGCCAAACATCGTGAATAGCGCCGACGAGAAAGCTATCAACATCGCCGCGATCGATATGAACAATATGGAAAGTCCGGCGATCATCTTCGTCGGTAACAAGACCAAGAAATCGTCGAATGAGTATCTCGCGGTGAGTATTCCGAGGAAAATGAGAACAGAGGTACAAGATGCGAAGCAGGAGATCAAATCGGAGACAACGAATGTGGTGAAATGCGGGTTTTGTACTTGAAAGGGTCTACCGTGTTTATTGTCGTCGGTGCCTCCGGGGACGGTGAAGACCGCCGCGAAAGTAACCGTGACGATTAGAGCAGCGACTAAGCTGCAAGACATCGCCGTATCTTTCATCCATTTCTCAGCTTCTTGTCTTAATGCTTGATGCTCCCTTGTGAATATCTCGATCGGAGTTTGCTCTTCTGTGTTTACTCTCTCCTTCTCTATCTCCGGTGCGATCCTCTCCACTTCCTAAATGATCAAGGCAAGATTTTTATTGTTTCCTCTGTTTTTGTATATTGCATTCAAGGTGCTCGATACAATTCCTAGCTGAGAGAAACAGAGCGTACCTTGAACCATTGTAACTCGCGTTGCATCTGCAACGTTGCTCCAACGACGGTAGAGAGCTTAGAAGGTGGAGAAGGATAGCCAGCGAGATGGAGGACACCGTTACCGTCGCAGTCTTTGTCGGCGAGCAACAAGTACTTTCTGTCGTCTAGACCGTATAGTAGACTAAACACCTTCTCTTGTCTGAATTCGACGGCCAAGAGAAACAGAGTACTGCTCGAGCTCGTTCTCGTGGACCATAGAAGCTCGGAGTTGTTCTTGATCATCTCGACTAAGAAATCGACGTTCCCGAATCTTACTGCGAAGAGTAAAGCTTCGTCGACGGTTTCAGAACGTTCCTTCAAGCCCATGGCTAGTGTTTCCTCTGATATTCCGAGTAGAAGCTTCTTAGCTTGTAGATGCATCACCTTCATTCGGTACACTTCATCTATCCCTGAACCATATCACTCAACTCAAATTCAAATGTCATGTGAAGTTTATCGAATAACCGTATTTGGCAGATGATAAAACTAATACTTACCAGTCCATTTGGAGAGAAATTTGAGCAGTTTTCCCATCAGAGTATCTGTGAAAGAAATAAAACCAAGAAAAGTTGAAGCTTCCTCACTTTCTTCAAAGGAAAACAGAGACTTTTATGGGGCTATGTATACGGAAACTTACTCTTATGGTCTTTGTTTGAACGAGACGCCTCTGGAAGAGTTGGTAGCTTTACTTGTATCCCTAACAAGTGAGAAAAGAAAAAATAATTTTCTCAAGGATTTTGGATCGAAAGGATTGATCTTTGTAATGAAAGAGGTGTTAGATCGGTACAAACAGGAGTAGATGAAGCGTTCCAATGGTCCGAGTTGGCAGCCACCAGGAAAAAGATCCGGCTTTGAAGCCAAGACGATGATGGGAATCGACTCGATTTGCAAGTGTTTTGTGACGGCTAAGCGTCTGGACATGCTGAACAGATCCAACGCGATATCTAATTGTATGAAGAAAAAACAGATCAATAAATGATCATATCGAAACCGATGGTTTGCTTGAAGTCCAAGACACCGCTTACCGAGCATTTTATAGAAGATGGCATTGAGAAAGAGCAAGGAACCATGATACCCATCTTGATCAAGTAATACCTGAACCGGAGTTCTAGTGTAAAGATACCGAGCCATCTCCGTCTGCGTGTTCTCAACTGCAACCACGACCGGGATCTGTCCATTGATTCCAGGAATCTCTAGCAGCTTAGGGTTCTTTGCGACCAAAGCTTCAGCAATCTCCATGTTTCCACTAACCGCGACAACAGTGAGAGGCGTGTGGTATGAAGCGTTTTGGCTCATCTTTGGAAGCATTTGTTCAGGTGTCATCCGGCGCAAAAGCTCTTTAACAATCTCGGGTTTTCCACACGCGCAAGCTTTTAACAATGGCGTTTCATAAAGGTTAATCCATTCGTCTACTGCATCCGGACGATGGTTCAAGAAGTCCTTAACGGATTCTACACGACCTTGGCTTATTCCTTGACTTAATTGTATATACTCATAGTATACATTTGTAACCTTACCTACATAAACAACAAAATATACACACAATAAAATCTATATACATCTAGAGTCTAGAGACCGTTTATAAGTGATTGATTAGTTGATAACAATGATATGAGAACTTTTACCTCGAAGCCGAGATGCGGAAATAGCTGATTCGAGGAACGGTATCTGGATATTGAAGGGACCAGTTGGAATTTCTTCTTCAGGAACTTCTTTAATAGGAGAGAAACTTTCGCCTAAGCCACCTTGAGGAACCTTTGTGTTAGCAAATTTGAAAGGGCTCCTTCGAAATGTTTCTTTGAAAGCTGAGTCTAAGTGATTAGAATTCATTGCCATATTAAATTTCTTCGACCACAGATTAAAAAAAACAAGAAATCTATAGGTAATATAGGATCTATGCAGAAGTATATTTCGTTGTTTGTGCGTATATGCAAGGCATAACAGTAACATATAAACTTTGGTGTTTTTTTTTTATCATATTCTTTGATTGATCTTGCATCTGAATATATGCTTTGCTTTGGTTACTCATTATTTTATTTGGAAAGCTTTTTTATGCTAGAAAGGTTAATAAAGATTCTTCTATTTGAATATATAAATTCGACAAATTACAAAGAAGCTTATTTTTCAATGTTCCAGGCCATTTCTTTTGGTTTGCTTTAATAAGTGGTCATATCTTGAATCTGAATGTATGCTTT